ACAGTCACTCATTCCTCACAGTCACACATTCCTCTCGATCACTCAGAACTCGACACTCACACTTAGTAGGTACCTGCGCTCACTGGGGGTGTGTACAGACTCCGGAGGGGCTCCTTCAGCCCAAGCGCTATATCAAGACAATCATGGCATATAACAATGAAATATGCTACGACGCGCAGCTTGATCCCATAAATATCCTCACAGTTAGGCCCTCGGCCTCACTCAGTCATCAACCTCTCCAGTCTCTCGGGCTCAAGATGTCATGAAAATCAGCCCAAAAATGATAATATGATACATCAATAAATAGCAACAGAGGCTGAGATATGATATGAAATGAATGAACATGACTGAGTGTGAAATTACAATTTGAATATATAATTCAACCAAGGAAATGACCCCAGAGGGTATCAATAATAACAACATATGTCTAAACATAATTTTTAATACGAGTCTCAACTCAATTTTCTCTAACACGTAGAGAATGTACTGATATCAACAGATTATTCAACTACACAGTTCCATAGAATTTGACCAAGTCACAATTCCTACGGTGCACGCCCACACGCTCGTTACCTAGTATGTGCGTCACCTCAAAACCAATCGCATAACACATAATCCGGGGTTTCATACTCAGGATCAAATTTAGAACTATTACTTACCTCAAACCGTGTAACTCTTTATTCCGCTATGCCTTTGCCTCGTGAATTGGCCTCCAAATACCTCGAATCTAGCCACAAATAATTTGATTCAGTAGAAAAAATTATTGGAATTAATTCCATAAGAAAATACTAATTTCCCATCAAATTTCGAAAATTCACCGTCTACCCATACAACGTCTCGGAACCTGACAAAAGTTATAAAATCCGAAAGCCCATTCAACCACGAGTCTACCCATACCAATTTTAACTAATTCCGCCACCAACTCGACCCTCAAATCTTCAAATTAAACCAAGAGGGTTTTCTAAATTTTTCAACTTAATTCACCAATTAAATGATGGAATCAAAGGCATAATCATGGAAATTAACCAAGACTAGATAGGAATCACTTACCCCAAACACCCACGCAAGAATCTCTCCAAAAATCGCCTTCTACCGAGCTCCCAATTCGATTTTGTGTTATGAACTCAAAGCCCCCATTTTGGTACTTTTAATTCCGCCCAGATATACCTTCACCGCGAACGCAAACGCGGCCTCACCCTCGCATTCGCGTAGAACAATCTGATTGCCCCTTGAATTAACCCTTCACGAACACAAAGCTTCGCTGACCCCTCCCTTCGCGAACGCGACAACCCCTACGCGAACGCGAAGGCCAAATGCATGGGGTCCCCAGCTGCCTTCTCTCTTCTTCGAGAATGCGAGGGTGAGTACTCGCGTTCGCGATGCTTTCTCAGTCCAAACCTTCGCGTTCGCGTTCGCGTTCGCGTTCGCATTCGCGTCCTCTCCTTCACAAATGCAAAGAACAAAATTCCTCATCCCACAGACACCCTTCGCGAACGCAAGACCCGTCTCGCGAATGCGTAAGAGGAAACCAGAAGAAACACACGAGTAGTCTTCAACCAACATGCTAAGTCCGAAAATGGTCCGTTAACCATGCGAAACTCACCCAAGACCCACATGACTTCAACAAAATTTACCAACAAGTCCTAAAACATCATACGAACTTAGTTGAGCCTTCAAATCACATCAAACAATGCTAAAACCATGAATCATATCCCAATTCAAGCCTAATGAACTTTGAAACTTCCAATTTCTACAAACGACGTCGGAACCTATCAAATTACGTCCGATTGACCTCAAATTTTGCACACAAGTCATAAATGATATAACGGACCTATTCAAATTTCTAGAATAGTATTCCGACCCTAATATCAAAAAGTCAACTCCCCCGGTCAAACTTCCAAACTTAAATTTCTATTTTAGCCATTTCAAACATAATTTAACTACGGACTTCTAAATAATTTTTCGGACACGCTCCTAAGTCCAAAATTACCATACGGAGCTATTGGAATCATTAAAACTTTATCTCGGGGTCGTCTACATATAAGTCGACATCCAGTCACTATTTTAACTTAAGCTTTAAAGCTTGAAACTAAGTGTTCCAATTCATTCCAAAACCTTAATGGACCCGATGCAATCACCCCGGTAAGTTAAATAACAATAGTAAAGCATAACTTGAGCAGTAAATGGGGGAACGGGGTTATAACACTCAAAATGACCGGCCGGGTCGTTACACTTTAAAATGATGAAACTATTAGAAATGAATTGGTATTGTAGACATGATCACATTATTGTCTAATTAATAAAAATATGTATTCTCTTTATTCAAGGATGCGTTTGGGTAGAAGGAATCTAATAGTCTTGCTCGGCCGAGTTCACTCGATTGAGCACCAGTCGTGCTCTTCGAGTTCAGGGCATGACAAAGGGCGCACCCTAGTCCCCTTCCAACGGCCTAAGTTCGTTGGTCTAAGGCAAACCTGTGAAGAAAAAAGAAAAGATGAGCGTTACATAAGTTTAGGGTGCAATAGTAACTATTCTTAGAAGAGTCTTACCATGAGATCGGGCTTCACATCGGCCCTTCGAAAGCTTGCATCACGAGCGCTCGAAGTATGATATCTACTTGCAGATGCCTTTGATCCACTCCTTGAGCCCGAGGACAGTAGTGGGAACCCGAGCAACAGATGCACGACCAAAAATACTCGAGAAAGGAAACAAAGGAAACTAGACACTTAAGGAAAGGCAACACTTACGAGATACATTCCACTTCACGGGAAATGGCAGGAACTTAGGAGGGATCAAATCTTCAGTCTTCACCCGAATAAAACACCCCTGCTAGCCTTGGTCTTGATCCTCGTCGATGCTCGAAAAGGGGGCCTTGCTGGCCCGACGAGTGAGCTTGATTAGTCCCATTGAAAATTTGAAGGACTGTATAGACGGAGTAGGTGGCCGAGGGTGAATCGATGAGACTTCTTGTTGTTCACAAAATAACGTAGAAGGATCATGATCCTCCAAAGAGACGGGTGGATTTGCCCAAGGCACACCTCGTATCTCTTGCGAAAGGCCAAAAGTACTGGGTCTATCGGGCCCAGTATGAAGGGTTACGTGTAAACACTTAAATATCCCTCCACATGAGTGGTAATATCGTCCTTAGGCCCGGGGACTACCACGTCCTTACCTCCCCATTTACATTCCTCTCGGACTATGTGAAGGGTATATTCGGTAATAGAGCATATATATCTCGATGCTCTTTCACCTCGGTCTTGTTTGGATGAGGCCTTCTCAACTTTGAAGTCGTCTGCGATTGAACAACCCCCAAGAATAAAGCCTTTCATGGGGGGATTTGGAGCCGCTTCAGTAGTAGCTACTTCGAGAGAAACCACCTCGGGAGAAGCCGTCTCGAGAATAACCACATCGGGAATGGCCGCCTCGATACCTGTGGCCGGGGTGGGAAGATGAAGAGGCAGCCCGCTGAGGAACTGATTTGGGAGACTTGGCCATCGTGATCTGGAGAATCAGAAGATTTGAAGGGAAGATATGAAGGTTTGAAGGAAAGATATGAAGGTTTGAAGGTAGGATAAAGATCTAGGTAGAAAGCTAAGAACAGTTATGAAGATTTGAAGATCAAAGGTAAAGAGATGAAGATTTAAAAGAGTTTATAGCCGCTACAGAATTCGAAGTTAAAAGCTAGGATCAGAAAGTGGAAGAAGTACAAAAGGTCGAAGCTTTTATAGGAGAAAATGTAATCATTACACGACGTTTCACATTCAGAGGTGACCAGCCAATGGTTGACACGTGTCCAAAGTCAAAATGACACGACTAATGGGACGTTTCGTCTCATTCGTCATCTCGGTTATAACGTACGAAGGAAGGAACCGGGGTTCATCTATTGTTTCCTATCATTTCGGCAAACCTACTCTCAGAGAAACGAGGGGACTATCTGTATATGGGTGAACTCGGGGTCAAGACACACTCCGAGTTCTCGGTGAGTCAAACAAAATATAAATATATGAGATAGAGACCGAATCTGAGAACTCTTTTGTTCGAGGGTGGAACGGGGTGCTCGTCACCAGGCCTGACAAGACAACACCTCCCGAACCTGGAACAAGCTCCAAGACCTCGGAAAGCATTACAAACGGTTGCACATGACTAACGGAGGGCCATGATATCCGCACCCAACAGAATATCACGACGCGGATCTTGCCCGATGTCGGTAAGATATCAGTGATTGATGTACAAGGAGGATTTTTACCTTTTTTAGAGTTGTACTAGGGTAAAACTCACCTACTATATAAATGGAAAGTTTCTTATTCAATAGAGACATTGTAACATGCATATCAAGACAATACAAATTTATTTCTTTGCTTTACGCTATTGAAAAGTTCTCATTTTAATCATAATTCTTCATATACATTTGGCTTCGAATCGAGGGTCCGGTCGAGGGCAAAACTACTGTTGAGCTTACATTCGAGCCCGGATTCAACTTCATAACTGGTTTGGTTATATTTTATCTTTAATTTGTTTAACTAACATTCTTGATTGCTTGTGTTGAATCAATATGCATATCCTTAAAATCGCGTATAACTTTAATTGTTATCCGTTTTAAGGGTAAACATTTATAGTAGTAAAATCGGTAAGCTATGTATTAGTTGCCCATAAAATACAAAACATACTAGAAAGTCAAATTGCTATATCATCATTTTGCCGCTATGTACACGCCCACGTGAGAAAAATTTTAACACAAAAATCAACCTTTTCATAACCTATATTTTAAATATAAGCAATTAAAAAACATAAAAATTAGAAGGACACAAAAAGGTTTATTTTTAATTATAAGTATTCTCGAAGAGTTACTATGTAGTTGCACATTTTATTCCTTTGGAGTAGGGGCGGACGGTGTTAGCCCGGTGGGACAGGTAAAAGTCAAAGTATCCATCTCACTCCCCTTGTATAATGACGTTGACACTTATTCTTCTAGTTTCATAAACAGTGACGTTCAAATTTTGATAATTCCTCCCCTCTTTTCCTTTATAAATACCCTTCAAATCCCAAAACCACACAGATCTCTACAATCACTTACGTCGCTCCCTACGTTGTGTAATTGCTCGTTGTTCTTTATTTTTAATCAAAACTCTCTGGTTTGCTTACTGCAAAACCAGATTTGCTTAAGAAGAGAGTGACCCACAATTTAAATGGAAAGTAGCAGTAAGTATAATATTAGTTCAGAAAAGCCTGATAGGAAAACAGTGGAAAGGAACAGAAGAATCTATATGAAGTATCTTTGTTCTAAGCTTATTTCTGTCATTCCTCCCCGCCACTTTAAACCCTCTACGGTACGTACGTTAAACCCCATCTCTCTCTCTCTCTCTCTCTCATCTTTGTTTATCTGATCTTGAATATGATTATGTTTCTATGATTGCTTGCACAGTTGCACCGTAGGAACTAAGTAATAGTTTGTTTTGCTTCACTTGAAAAATACTTCATGATTAGTCTGTCCATCTTGCGAAAATGAAATAAAATTGAAATTAACTGCAAATCAAGGACCCGCATTAGATTTTGCCAAAATAAATTTGAGTTTTATTTGACAAACACATATTTGGCCATAGATTTTGCCTACATTTTGGCCAAATTCCAAATTCCAAATCCCAAATCACTATTACATTTTTTTAAATTATCCCAAACTTTTGTATTTTATAAAAGAGCCTACCATTTATTATTTTGTAACAATGTTGCTTCGTCTTCTCGGTCACCTGATAGTGTATCATGTAGTTCATTATAAAAATGATGATTTTGTATCAAATTTATTTATGTTCAGGATTATGGTTTGCGATAATATAATGAATGTTATTGATAACGGTACTGTTGGGTATTTGTGATAGTTTTTAGAACTTGTGGATATAAGTCATGTTTCATGTTTTTTCAAAATAAATTTGGGAAATATGTTTTGAAAACTGATGTCCAAACACATTTTCATTTTCAAACCAAATTTCACCCAAATCAAATTTTTCAGAATAAATTTGAGAATCTATGGCCAAACGCTAGCCAAGAGTGAACGTTAGATGCTATAATCCTGCCACGGTAGAGAGCTTCTGAATCTCAAAACCAAGTCCTTTTGATAGGGATTTTTGGGATCTCACGGTTCTTTAATCTTGGATTTTGGTTTTGGAAATTTTCTAATATTTTCATCTGGATTTTGTAAGGCCAGGTCTTTGTAGTCAAGATGATATGTTGGACATGCAAACTACTAAAACTAAGTACTATTGATGATCTTCTTCCTTCCACTAGAAAACTCCACAATCTCGTCAGCCAAAATTATATTATGGCGGTTTTGACAAAACCGTTGTAATTACATTTAAAAATTACCGTATTTTAATTTGATTAATGCGGCCTTTTGATTTGATTATTGTAGCGGTTTTAAACCGCGGTAGTTGCAAAAGAGAATTGCTATTATAACGCCAGCATCCTTTCACAATATATTTTTTCACATTTACAATCCTATTTATTGAATGTCATGCTTTGAAACTTCCATAATACTTCATAATCATTTTAACCGAATATAGAAGATTAAATAAGAAAAATATTCAATATATAAAAAACACAAGTATTCCAAAATTACATCATCAAAATATTAATGCTTCAAAGTGTATTTCAATAGTAATATCCAAAACATTCATAGTTGATCATACAAAATAATCACTAATTCACATTTGGACGATCATCATTGTTACTTTCATATAAAGATCTTCTTGGCTCAACTGTTGATGGTGCACCACTTTCTAAATCTGATGCCTGAAAAAAAAGAGGAAAAATACAGTCATGTATCTTGGTATAATTAAGACCATGTTTGTTGATGGTTTTCTTGGCCTCATAAAAAGAACCAAGAATCTTGGCATCTTCAAAGGCATCTTTTAACAATTCTAATATACTCATCGCTTTGTCAGTCATTCGACAAAGATATTTTATATGATACAACTTGATTAGAAAGGACAATTTAAAATACTTCGTACACCCTTCGTATAATGGTTGATTGCCATCTTCGACCAATTCATAGAACTTTGTATAATCTTCATTATGCCCCTCAATGTGCCCTTCATTAAATATTTCTTCTCTATTTATATGATTAGAAGACAAACCAGGCTCGTTGACATTGTTCCCGGTGAACCCAAACGCATCATTAATCATAATTTCTATTGGATATTGGGGGCTGTAAAGTATCTTCTATGACATGGGTGCTCTGAGAAGTCTGTTGCACGGTTGCATTTGATTCTTCACCATGCCAATCCCAAAATTTATAGTTTTTTGAAAAAAGGTTTAAGAATTAGGTTCTCTTAAACTACATCTCTTCTTTGTCACTTATTAAAATCACATTTTGGATACGAGCACTTAATTACGCGTCCATCAAATGACTCGTGCTCAAAAGAAAAATTCAAAAATTGTCTTAGACCATCTGCATATTCAAGTGTGTTTCGTGGTTTGCTAATCCAAAATTTATCAATTGGCATGTCTCAAAAGGAAGACATAAGATAACATGACAATATCAAAATAGAAAAGTTAGTTCAAAAGCTTATATGTGAAAAACATAACCTATGAAATAACATCATTTCATAAGATAACAAAAAATAGTTTTGGTCTGTGAATTAGAGTAAAATATCATGCCCTAAGAGTAAAAAATAAGCTCCAGCACCAAACTATTTTCATATTTGGTCTGTGAATAAAGATACTGCTTCTAAGAGCAAGATGCAACCAGTATAAAGATCAAGGGATCATGTACACTCAGGCTGCACTCTTTACTCCAGCTAGTATGTTCAGCTTTGACCTTTTGTTTCATAACAATATTGTATGGTCTTTTCAAATAATTCTTAGTATCAATTTCCCATATGAGAGCACCACTGCTTATTGGTACTAGCAGCAAGCAGTGAATCAAGACAAATAGTATTTTACTTCTAATTGAGAACTGAGATACTGCAGTAAATAGTGCAAATCTATTGATAAAGTAGGCTCTAATTATTAGATAGAACCTATGAGAGAACCTTTAAGACTGAAACTTAACATCTGGTCTTGATTTGATCAACTAGTTAAAGAAATTACCTAATGAGAAGCCTCTTAGTGATATAAAAGTGCATATAGAAAATATTTACTTCTTCCATTAGAATTAGGACATAACTATTAGAAGCTCTACATGTAGCAGCCTGCAATAATTAGTGAATATTTTCACTTAATCTGAACTAAGTTCTTCTCTCAAAAATTTTGCTTATATATGTCAAACTGTTAACTTACTACTTCAGGCCCTTTTCCAACTTACTATAAAAAATATAATGTCCAATCATACATGACTTAAACTTCACTCCTACTCAAAAATATACTAAAATAAAAGTCTACCAAAAACTTATTTCATGTCCTCATCATTCTGGTGCACTTTCATTAAGCCTTCTTAAAGTAAATAGCTTTTATCGATATTAAAGGGAAATTGGAATAAGTTGTATCTATTTTACAAATGTAATATTATTGATTAACAAACTCTATGACTAATCTACACTGATAAGAGGTAACTCAACCCTAAGAAATAATCAATTTACCTTTAAAAAAGAAATCTGCTTAAAAGAAAGGACAAAATTCAAGTGAAACGAGTTATACCTATCAAATATCTAATTGTCGACGTCGATTCCAATAGCTTCACCAGCAGTTTTTGATCCCTCGGCTACCTATCAATCCCATATATAATATTTAGGTTAATATTAGTAAGAACAATAACTTAAAATATCAAAATTAAGTGCATGCAATCGAAATACAAGACAAAGCAACGAAAATTTAAAGAAATACCAAACTAATTGAACATAAAAATAACAAAAAATGTACTCAAAAATAAAAGAAAGAAGTACTAAAAACATTAGAGTAGTAATGTTTTCTAATAACAGCAATCGTAGTTCTGTTGTCTTTTTTTCTAATAATAGATTACTATTTTGGATGTTATATATTCAATTGACTGAATGAATCATAGATTATCGAACTAAGGGGAAAAATTAGAACAGAATTGGGAAAAATCGCTACACTTCCAAACATGCATGAACCCTACAACAACAACAACAACAACAATAACAATAACAACGCAGTATAATCCCACTAGTGGGGTCTGGGTAGGATAGTGTGTACGCAGACCTTACCCCTACCCTGGGGTAGAGAGACTGTTTCCGATAGACCCCCGGCTCCCTCCCTCCAAGAACTCCCCACCTTGCTCTTGGGGTGACTCGAACTTACAACCTCTTGGTTGGAAGTGGAAAGAGTACTAATAAAGAGAAAAGAACTTTTGGTACTAAATATACATCATTACCTGAAGATTATTGAAGTTGCTAAACGAATTTCATGTACTTTTTCTGATTTGAATCTCGATTCTTCTAGCTGGAGAAATAGAAGAATCTGAAGTTAGAAAATAGAACGAATTGGGGGAATTGAGGGAAGAATCGGGGAAAGGAATTGGGGGAAAGAGAAACGAGAGACCTATTGAGGGATGGAGTTGGGAAAATTCCAGACTTAGTAAATTCTGGAGAGAGTCTCAATTTGTGAGGGGGAAATACTAAAACCTATTGAGGGAAAATAATTAAAATGTTGTGATTAAGAGGGTGTTTGGCTAAGCATATAAGCTGACCAAACTGGCTTATAAGTACGTTTTGACTTATTTACGCGTTTGGTAAACACATAAAGTTCTTATAAGTTAAAATCAGTCATAAGTCATAAGTTGGTCACCCCAACTTATGGCTTTTTAGCTTATAAGCACTTTTAGTTTGACCAAGACTTTTACTAGTTTATCCTTAATAATATTTTTTAATTTACAAAATACTTTTCTCAAAATAAATTTCTTGACTTTCTTTTTATTCCATATTCGTTGTTCATCCTTTTCTTTATAAAGAGACTTTTTCATTTATAATCTTTTATAATTAAAAATTAAGGGTATTATAGTCATTTTAATAAAAGAACAACTTATCAGCACTTTTCTGCCAAACACATCAACTGCTTATTATCAATTTCGGCACGTCTATCCAAACACGTAAATGCTTAATTAAAAATCAGTTTCAACACTTAAAAATATTTTTCAGCACTTCAAACTTATCGGCAATTTACAATCAGTTAATCCAAACGGGCTCTAAAACACTACCGGCGGTTCTAACCGCCGCAATATGAGAAAACCACCATTATAAAATAACTTTAAATCGGCTGCTTCTAAAACGCCATTTTATATTAGATTTTGTGGCGGTTATTTGGAACCGCCGTAATATAACCGCCACAATAATTCTGATTTTTTGTAGTGATAGGATCAATATTGATCTGTTTTAATATGTTAGAAATGCTACTTTTATTTCTCTCCAAGAGTAGAAGCCAGACAGTTAATTTTAAGCAAGTCATGATTCTTCTTTTTATTAAAAAAAGTAAAAATCTAGGTTGTTTTTTTAGTTGTAAGACGCTCTAAGATGGAGAAAGAAAGAGAAGGATGGGCATTGTGAAACCGCTATAGCCTTTAGCAACTTCATTTACCCTCTCAGACTCTCAGTTCTCACTACATAACTCTCAACAATCTATCAAATTTTAAGGACCTTTAATTTAACTTTAAGGATTTTAAAAGGTTGCAAGTAATGTACATTTTTCAAATTCACTTGTGCAATTATTGCTGCTATTCACTTAAACTAGCTTCGTACATAGATTCCGTAGACTTTCTTGGACCACTTGGTCGGGATGAATTAGTACTACCTTTGCTTTTGCCTTACGAGGAAAATCAATTAAGAAAACTCCTAATTACCTTAGTACTTGTATTTACATGTGATGATTGTTATTTAATACTCCTAATTTGCGTAAACTCGTTAGCGAAGTTCATATATTTGAAGAATTTTAAATCCTATTCTTGCTCAAACTCAACCGATTGAAATTCTGCTGTCAAATGTGTGAGGAAATTTTGTAAATGCCTTCAATAGATAAGTTGATTTAAGAATTTCTAGACTTTGTAAAGTTTTGTACATTGGATAATACGTACCTAACTAATTTCTTGGCAGAAGGTCATTACACCATCAGTATCATTGCCTTTTTCTTATGAGCCAACAATTTATCCGGCCTTAAATGTACTGGAATTGAAGGGAGCCTTGGAGCAACGATAAAGTTGTCTCTACGTGATCACCTATAGGTTACGGGTTCGAGCAGTGGAGGCAGCCACTAATGCTTGCATTAAGATAGACTGTCTACATTACACCACGGGGGTGCGACCCTTCCCGGGCCCTTTTATAAATGCGGGATTCTTTGTGCACATGGTTGCCCAAACTGTACTGGAGTACTCACCGTTCTTCAGACAATATCTGATATAATCCTTGAAATAGTTGTTGGAGTTTCTCTTAATACCTATTAGCTTGTTTAAAAGTTCTTGCATTAGCTCAATGTATTAAGACAACTATAGCCTTGTACCTTAAATATGGTTTCAATATTATTCGTAGTGTTTACTCAATGCATAGAATATAATCTTTTTCGGTAAATCAACTTTTCCTTTTTGTTTTCCTTAAAGATAGGCTGTTAATTTTTTTCCTGACTTCCTAGCCAAACAATTTCAGGAGATGCTTTCACAACAAGACCAAGTTGATCAAGCTATTACTTACATTGAGCAATTAAAAGAAAGAGTCGAGGTATTAAATAGAAGGAAGGACGAGGAAGCACAAGGCACAGGTGAAAGAAGTAGTAATTCAAAGAAAGTAATGACAACTTGTACTTTAGAAACACCTGCGGTTGAAGTTTGAGAGTTGGGTTCAACTCTAGAGGTGATTTTAATTAGTGGTTTGAAAAAGAAGTACTTCACAATGCAAGAAGTTATAAACATCTTAGAGGAAGAAGGAGCTCAAGTTGTTACTGCTCATTTTTCAACAGTTTGCGGTAAGGTTTTCTATACAATCCACGCTCAAGTAATTCATTTATGAGTTTATTATTAGTATGAAAGATGATGGAAAATGTAGCTAGTTAAATTTAGCAACTAAACAATGTCTTTCTTGTTATGCTATGGTTGTAGGTGAAAATAACGAGATTAGGGATTGATGCTTCAACGGTCCAATTGAGATTGCAAAATCTGGTCTGCTAAATTTTCTAACCAGCAAGGATTAATAAGGAGATACGCCATATACAGATGTTTTAGTTTATGAAATAATAATATAATATTCATATTGTTTTGCCCAACTCTAGAGGTGATTTTAAATTGAGGTGAAGTTAGAGAGTTGGGTCCAACTGTTTTATATGCCATAGTTTTTTTCCCTTTCTTTTGTTGGTTTCAAGTTGGCATGCTTATGTACACATAGAAATCATTGCTCCCAAGGCTACAAATAGCGTAATTAGTTTATCTTTTCATCTCGATGAATCAACAACGAGATGTTTAATTTTTGATCTTTCTTGTTTTCATTGATCTTATTGGGAGAGAGGTAATTAAGAGGTACTATGCCTCTAATTTACAAAGGGAATGGTACATTTTGGAAGTACTTATACTTTGTGTTTGGATGTAATGCTAGTCAATAATTTGGTCGAAAATAACGAAGCTACCTAATTAAGCCGCACTTTCTCTTAGATAGCGAAAAAGCAAGAATCACGAATGTTAAGTAATGTCCCAAAAGAAAAAAGGAAAAAAGCCAAAAGGAGTAGACTGAACTTCAACGCTTTCGATCCCGTCAACCTTCAACAAAACCTAAGATTGAATGTTTCATGTATAGTTAGAAAAGGTAACTAATTACCTGTATGCGTAACTAATTACCTGTATTGCATACAGGTATGCCGATTCAAGATTTGAATGTTATGTTCGAATTCAAAATAATATACATTCGGTTGACTAAGTCTGAAATATATAAGTCATATTATTAAATAAATTTTTAACATACATACATGATCTAAGTCTAAGTTCTATTCGAATTGTTGGCCTAAGTGAATGTTAGTTTTGAAGATTGACAAAGGAAGCTCAGGCATGAACCGGGTCCATCCCTTGTGTGTATAGACGGGCAGATTCGAGCATGTGGGATGCACGTGAAGGAGATAAGCTTAACTTGGTAAAATTGATATCTCCTGATTGAAAAGGTTGCATAATTGATAAGGAGAAGGACTCCTTAATCAAAGAAAACACTATCCAAGATAGGGGAGGAGTTAGAAGTTGAGATCAACTAGAACTCTTCCACCAAGGAAGAGTAGCATTAGAACTTTAGTTATTTTCTACTCTACTAACTCTATAAATCACAGGATGTTCTCATTCTACACGTATGCACAAAAGCAGAAGTTAAACGTGAATTGAGAGCAAAATAGTAAGGCACATTTTGCAAGCAATTCATGTGTGATTCAAGTGTGCAAACTTAAAGCTACATGAACCAGATAGAAGAACCAGCTCCAAGTGTCTGTCTTTTATTCTAGTTCAATTGTAGTAGGTGTTTTCATATTGTACCTTTCAGCTTTATCTAGAGGTAATTGTAATAGGTACTCAGAGTATTCAAGTTAGAGTTAAATTGAAGTTGTCGCAGCAGTTAGAGGCTGGGATCCACAACGGGATTAGAGTTAATCCTAGGTTTATAAAAGTATTTTGTAAATACAGTTTTTGGCTCAGTAATTTAGTGGAGAGTTTGGAAAAATCCTACTGAGAAGTAGGTCGTGGTTTTTTCACCTTTTGAGCCAGGTATTTTCCACGTAAAATACTTGTGTTCTTTACTTTTCGCATTTACTATTTCAGCAATAGTGGGTTAAGGAACACATAGAATAAGCCGGTCCTTCTATAATCAGTGTAGGCGAAAAATTGGGCACCACACAAATCACCCCCCTCTTGTGTGGTATTGAAGTTAAAAATATCAATTGGTATCAGAACGGGTTATCCTTGAAGAGGCTAATATTTTAGGAGAAGATCAAGATGAGTGCACCACCTGAAAACTAGGAAGGGAAATCCACTGCTAGGCCACCACTTTTCAACGGCCAGTATTACTCTTGGTGAAAAAATAGGATGAGAGATCACATCATAGGAGAAGACTATGAGCTATGGGACATTGTCACAGATGGCCCACTGGCTACCATGAAGATAAATGCCGAAGGAGAAGAGGTGTCAAAGATTAGAGTTGACTGCACTGCTGGCGACTTGAGGAAATGGGAGAAGAATGCTAAAGCCAAGAAATGGCTTGTTTGTGGACTCGGTCCAGATGAATACAGTAGAATCCAAAGCTATACCACTGCTAATGAAATCTGGGACACTTTGTAAGTGGCCCATGAAGGAACACCTCAAGTAAAGAGGTCTAGAGGAACACTACTATATTCTCAATATGAGAATTTCACCATGAAGGAAGGGAAAATCATCCAAGAGATGTATACAAGGTTCACCACACTGACAAATGAACTTAATTCTCTTGGAAGGATTATTTCTTAAGAAGACAGAGTTGAGAAGATTTTGACAAGGGATCTGCCAGTTACTTGGGAGAGCAAAATCACTGCCATTCAGGAATCAAAGAACATTGCCACTCTTAAGTTGGATGAGCTAATAGGAAATCTCACTGCTTATGAACTTAGAAGGAAAACCATGAAGATGGATGTACCCAAGAAGGAAAGGAGCCTGGCACTCAGAATCATTGAAGGTTCTGATCTAGAAGATGATGAAATGGCTATGATCACAAAGGATTTCAAGAAGTACCTAAAGAGAGGAAATGATCCTTCAAGAAGTGGAAGCTACAGCAAATCAAAGGCTCCTGAAAGGCAAACCAATGAGGGATGCTACAAGTGTGGTAAGACTGATCACCACATCAAGAAATGCCCTCAATGGAAAATTGAATGGAAGAAGGAAAGAGCTGAACGAAGAAACAGAAAGAAGGAACAGGTTCAACCCAAGAAGAACAAAGGATCAACAAAGGCTATGGTTGCTGCTTGGGGAGAAAGCTCAGATGAAAGCTTAGATGATGAAGATGGAGATGAACAAGCATTTATGGCCATTGGAGAATCTGAGGTAAGTGTAATTCATCTCAAAGACAAGATTAAAGTTTTGTCTAAAGAAAGGCTATATGAATTACTTCTAGATTTATTGATGAATCTGAGGATGTAAACAATGAAAATGAACAACTGTCTAAGGAATGTGTGATTTTGAAAGCAAAGTGTAAGAACCTGGAACTTAGGGTTAGTGAGACTATAAGTGAAAATACTGCATTAAAGAATCAAGCTCATGCATTTGAATCAAATGTCCTAGAACTTAGATCTGAGAACCTAAAACTGAAATTAGGAACAAGTAAGAAGACAACTGATTGTACACAACTCACTCTAGAAGAAAATGTAGGTAAACTAAAAGATGAGTTGTATAAGAAGGATGAGCAGGTTAGAATTTTGAAGAAGGATCTAGGCAAAGTCAAGCATGAACTAGATAGAGCTTGTAAATGGAACAGGTCCTCCGATGCACTCTCATGGATACAGGAACATCATAGTATCAATAGAAGAGGACTTGGCTTTGGGAATCTGCCACCTAAATTGAATCCCAAAAGCAAGTACCTTACACTTCCTGAGAACACGATTTGTACTCACTGTGGTAAAACAGGTCACTATAAAAGTGAATGCAATGCAAAAGATAAGGCAAGCCAAAAGAACAAAGAATTTGTTCAAGGGAAGAATAGGCTACCAATCTGGGCTAAAAAGAATCTGATTCATCCTTTTGCTTATAGAAAGGGACCCAAACTAGTTTGGGTTCCTAAGACTAACCCCTGATTTTCTTTTGCAGGTCCAAGTGAAGGGAAGCAGCCAAATATGGTACATGGATAGTGGCTGCTCAAAGCACGTGACAGGAAGCAAGAACCAGTTCCTTTCACTTGAGGACCTCAAAAGAGGTAATGTCTCCTTTGGAAATAGGAATAAAGGCAAGATCATTAGGGTTGGAAAGGTAGGTAAGACTGATTCTCACTCTATTGAGAATGTCTACTTGATAGATAGCTTAAAATACAGTCTAATCAGTGTATCACAACTGTGTGATAGAGGTAACTTGGTAGCATTCACCTCTACCAAATGTTTTGTGATTAATCTTACCACTGACAAGATTGTTTTGCAGGGAAAAAGAGTGAACAATATATATATTGTAGATCTGTCCACACTTTCAGAAAATGAACTCACTTGCTTAAGTGTGTTGGACAAGGATCCTCTCCTTTGGCACAAGAGACTTGGACATGCAAGTCTGAGTCAACTCAACAAATTAGTTTCCAAGGACCCGGTGATNTCTCCAAGGACTTGGTGATAGGACTACCTAACATTAAGTTCAAGGAAGACAAAGTTTGTGAGGCTTGTACAAGGGGGAAGCAGGTAAGATCCTCTTTTAAATGCAAGAAAGTGGTAAGCACCACCAGGACGATGGAACTTGTCCATATGGATCTTTGTGGTCCAATTAGAACATTAAGTAGAGGTGGTAAAAGATATGTGATGGTGCTTGTTGATGATTACTCTAGGTTTACTTGGACATTATTTTTAACATCTAAAGATGAAGAATTTGACATGTTCACTTCTTTTGTTAGAAAAACTCAGAAATAACTAGGTAATCAACTTGCATCAGTTAGGTCTGATCATGGCACTGAATTTGAAAATGCTAAATTTGCTGAATTTTGTGATGAGCATGGCATAGATCATAATTTGTCTGCTCCTAGGACTCCACAACAAAATGGAGTAGTTGAAAGAAAGAATAGGACACTTGAAGAAATGGCTAGGACTATGCTTCTTTCTAGTAAACTGCCCCATAGCTTCTGGGCAGAAGCTGTAAATACTGCATGCTACATCATAAATAGGTGCATGACTAGACCTCTTATAGAGAAGATTCCCTATGAGTTACTTAAAGGGAGAAAACCAAACATATCCCATCTTAGGGTATTTGGATGCAAGTGCTTTGTGCACAATAATGGTAAAGACTCCCTAGGTAAGTTTAATCCCAAAAGTGATGAGAGAGTATTCTTGGGAAAGTTATTAATGTCTATAACAAAATAACTATGTGTGTAGAAGAAAGTGTTATTGTGGTTTTTGATGAAACTAACATTTTTTCTGAAAGGCAGAAACATGATGATGAAGCAATTAGGCTGGTAAGAAACTCAAATGAAACGACAGCCCAGACTGAAGCTGCACTAGAGGAAGGAATAGGTAATGGAACATGTTCTTCCACCCAAGGCAACATGACAGGGGGAATAGAACAAATAGGAAATAATTCTCAAACCTCAATGGAACCTGTCCATGAACCTGTTCCACAACAACAAAGCATTTAAGGAACATCAAAGGGAAACCAGTTGGTTGTAAAATCTTACAAGTATCAAAGTTCTCATCCCATTGAGAACATAATCAATGATCCAACCTCTAGAATCAAAACCAGATCTTCATTAAAAAATCTTTGTGCTTTTGATGCCTTCTTATCTCTTATT